AATAGTCCAAATGCATTGTCCGTTGAATTAATTGATTATTTTAATCATAATATGCCTAGTAGCAATGCAATTAGGAAAAATTCAGAAGAAGTAATTGATTTCTAGCGAAGGTATAAATGCCGATGGCACGTAGTTTATGGAATGACAAAAGATCTACTAACGCTTCCGTTTAGCACTATAGTTTCGGAGTTTACTTTTAGTGCATGTAAGAGAGTTCTCTCCGAGGTCAGGAGTCGACTAAAAGAATATATTTTGGAAGCATTAATATGCGTGAAAGACTGGGAAGACAATTATTATCAACTGTAAGATAAATATATCGAAATTGCATGTAGTCAAGTAAGTAATATTTTATTTAATCATATTCATCACAAAATTTTATTTTAATATCTTTATAATTTTTTAAAAAAATTGTACACGTAACAAATTGTTCGTGTACAATTTTTAACTCCGCCTATTCGAAATTGAAGTAATCGGTCCCAAACCCAGATAAAGGGGGAGGGTTTATTTATCTTTTTTTTTTTAATTTTAAAAAAGAAAAATGTTTTGGAAAATGTATATTTTAAAATTTTTTAGAAAATGTGATAAACATGTTTTAGGTTTAATATAGTGTTTAAAAAAAATGAGCCAAGCTAAAGCTTGCGACAAGCCACGAGTCGAGCTCGTGTGTGTAAGGGCCAAGCCGAGCCCCTACATAAGGGATGTAGAAGATAAATTGTGATTCTACTATTAGGGCTAACAATGGAGTGGGAGATGCGTTAGCTGCATGTTCTAAGCTTCTCACAATAAATTGAACAAGGCTTGAATTCTGATTTCTCTCTAGCACCAATCTCCTTATTTAGTGTAGCTAAAAATTATATTTGTCGTAATTTTTGGTAAAAGTTGATTAAATGTATGGTTTAGAATTTGATAAAAGTTGTGGGTGTGATGAAATGTGTATTTAATTAGTAATCAGAATCCAAATCTGAATGGTCTATAGCCCGGTCCAGTCCCCAGCCAGGCTAATGGCACATCGCAGGCATCAAAGAAAAAACTACACTGGAAAGTACGTATTGACACTCTTCTACCTGGTCGATAAAACTAGAGAATTCCAAGCAGTGCACATGGTTTTTGGTGTGAGCAATGTAACAAAAATGGTCATGAATCTCAAGGAAGAAGATCGAAAACAAGTTGGAGATTCACTCGTTTGGAAGCCTTTTGCTGGCAAAAGGATCCGGTGCTCGGTCCCTACGGAGAATAGAAAAGAATTTTTAAAGCTGATACTAGCAAATTCATCAACTCCAAAATCAATATAGTTGTATAAAGTAGCAGAGGGCTAATAGGGTGGAACATAACAAGTTTATGAGCTTTAATGAGTCAGGAATAAACAACAAGAATAACAACATCAACGTTTATAATAATTCTCTGAATAATGTTCCTAACAATGAAGATTCTATGGTGAATTTTTGTGCTTATTCTTATTTTTCGCGTCATATTCAAGAAACTGTTAAATTAAGAGGAGAAATAGGCAATGATTCTGCTCTTATATCTCAGCACTATTTGGCTAATGATTGTAACTAACAATACTTTGTTACAAGTATATAAAATTTAGTGCACATTTAATACATAGTACTAAACCGGGTTGGACAGTATGGTTAAGAATTTTAACTTATTTTTTATTTTCATGTCAATTCTTTCTTGATGAATGTTGTGTACTAAAACTTAAAGTATAATGTTTTTGTTCTTTAGCTTTGGTTTTTTCTTCAAGAGATAGAGATCTCATGTAAGGCATAGTTTTTGTTGCGCAGTTCTCGCTAGTTTAGGTAATTGGTTGTCGAAACTCAAATCGTTTTTCAAAAATGACATTAGTCAGCCGCCCCGGCCATTGTATTCTTTTTAAACGGTCTGCAACCAACTGATGCATAACGCGTTGGAAACCAAACAACGAGCAATATGACACGGTCAAATATTTATGTATGGAACTTAAATTGATTAATAAGTTGACGACTACTGTAAATCTTTTTTTATGACATGTATGGTAGAGAGGATTGCTGCTGCTGCTTATCGTTTTGAGTGCTGGGAAAAAAAACCATATAGCCGATACGGATTGACTCACAACGAGGACTACCCATACCATCTGGAATAAAGAGCTTCGCTTGCCCCAGGCTGACTGCCTTGATCAAAAGCCCTTAACCTCGTTCCTATTTGAGGATGACGGGGAACAATCCGTCATCAATGAAAACAATCGAAGCATGGCAAGGAAAAAGGGAGTTTTTCGATTCCTTATTTCTGAATTGAAGGAAGATCCAAAAAAAGAAACCAAGAACAACTACAAGATATTATTGGCGTTTTCAGGCTTCAAATAAGCTTTAACAAGTAACAACTAATCCTGGCTACACTAATCGAGTTAATGAATGTCAAGATACTGCAAGAGTTCTTCTCAAATGTCAAGTAAGACCATTTAGAGCTTGTTAGGTAAAACTCAAAATCAAATTAAAATTGAAAATATAGTCGTTATTGGATCTCACTCGTCTAATAAAAGTCAACCATAACGACTAGTTTTTCAATTTTTATCTAATTTTAATCTCTACCAAACACACCCTTATTATCGTACACATCATGTATCTATGCCCCCTACTTATGTGCATGTCCAGTTGACAATAATTACGATGAAAAAATGCAAGTTGGTCCGCTAGTGTTACCAAAAGTTTTGTTCTTATGGTGCTACTGCTTAAGATGGAACTATTTTTAACATGCAACCTACATCCATTTTTATGGTGTTTGAGAATACTTCCATTTTGCCTTTTCTTGTTATTCTCTCTCTAAGTTCCTAGTGGGGGTGGATATTTGTTTCCCGAAACTGGTAGAACTGGACCAAAACTAGATAGAACTGGCCAGTCTGGCTCCGATTCTTGTACCAAATGGTCGGTTTTGGGACCATACACCTAGAACCTGCCCATTTCGGTCCAATTCTTGATTCTGTTTAAAAACCAACAGTGAATTTGATTATGGCAAATTTCTCCTTTCATTGGTGCATTGCACCAAGACGCACTATATATTTGATCAAACTTCTTCTTTTCTTTGTATCAAAGTTTAATGGGTAATCAGAATCCAAATCTAAATAATTTTAAAAATTCCATAATTTTAATGTAACTCAAATCGGGAAAAAAATTATACTTTTCGTTCAATTTTTTGTAAGAACCAAAATTTCATTGCTTTCAAAGTGACCGACCATCCATATTTATCATCTTCTCTTTGAGGATATCATTGAAGATAATCAGGATATAAATATTACAGGTATTTTTTAGTGTACGTATATATATTGTATGGATTTTCTTAAGAATTAATTTTGCGATCTAGATTTTACAATTTATGATAACGTTTAATTGATTATCCATTTGTTTCCTTGTGTTAATTGATTATTTTTATTATTAGATCACAAGTGTTTTCATCTATTTTTTATCCATTTTCAATCTAACAAGTATTTCACACTTTATTTTTATAACTTTTTTATTATAAAGAATTGAACCAGATCAAACCAGAATCGATTGGTTCGGTTTCAGTTCGATTCTATAGTTGAATATGGAATCAATAGTTCTATTTTTAAGATTTTTATTGGTACTCGATTCAGTTTGATTCCCTTTGTAATCGGATCAAACTAGACAACGTCCACTCCTAGTCCCTCGTGTAAATTTTGAAAGAAAAAAGAAAAAAAAACCATATTTCTGATTACTTTTAGACTAACAATGGATTGTTCAGTTTTTATTCTAACAAAGCTAGTGCCTAGTGGGAGTGATGGGGCAGAGACTCTCCTATCAAATGATAAGAACTTGAACCAGATCTATTAGCGTTGGATATATTACGTGTTTGTTACAATGACTTCTAATCATTCCCCAATGTTACACTAGAAGAATATGAGAAGCACAAGGTACGTTTCCTAGGTAATCGTCAAACATTGTCGCCACTTCTTGCGGAGCATGAACTTTTTTTCAACTTAACTTTTCTTTATCCCAAAATTATACTTTTAGAGTGTGTGCCTGCGAATTCTCTGCACTCTGCAGTGCATATTAGAACAGACTCTTGCGAAAAAGGGCAGATCATTAGAGAACAAACGAGTTACAAAAAATATAGTTCCTATCATGAATCTTTAAACATCTCCATGATCCAAGCCTATTTTTCACATCCGGTCAGCTTTTATTCATGGATGTTATTTATTATTAACTTGTTATGCTACTTGGGAGTAATTTAAGGAGTCGAGGCATGGGCTTCTGGTAATATGGAGGAGTTCGGAAAGCTCATCTCTGCATCCGATCGGAACTACGAGTGCGGTGTGATTTGTTCCAGCAGAAAAAGTTTATCGTTAACAGAGTTCCCCACTGAATATCTCGTAAATTTCTAGATTGTTAACCGCTGAAGCAACTGTATAAGATTCTTCTGAAGCCTCCGGGTGTACATGGATCAAGATTCAGAGGAGCAGGGTTCCGAGGACATGCTGTATTTCATTTGTTGATGCAGACAAAGCTACAGAAGCGGAGTCGTGTATCAAGAATGAGTATCAAAAATCCAACCGGAGTTGGCTAGCCAGATGAATGCAGAAATTGTCCTGATATGGTATCCAGGTTACTGTGCTCGAGTAATTTGACTGGAGGAATATCTTTCAGAAACTGCCTAGAATTGTGTATTCTAGGGATGATTGTTCAATACATTTGAATTAGGAATTTTCACACGTAACCACTGTACTGTACTGAGCCAAGAAATGTTGCCACCATTCAATTTTTGCTGAAAAAGTTCCATATCAACCCATGACGAAGTTGAGGCAAGATGCCAATGTGCAAGAATTGTCCAACACGCAGTGTGAGATAATGTAAACATTGACGACACTTGAATAGGACTTGAACCAATACACAACCTCGAGCAAAAGATAAGAATTTAATAAAATAGACCCCAGAAGAGATGAGATTGAACCTAAAAGCAAATAAAACAATCCCCATTCACTTCATTCTATGCTTGAAAGAATCCAAAACAGAGGGGGGGGGGGCGAAAGTCAATACAACCAGAGTAACTAAAAAAGGTACATTCAGTTTTCAGCATCCACATCGGACTGACAGTGGAAGTCTAGCATTTGGTGCAATCTCCAGCGACAAAGGTCCAGAATGCATGAAGATGACTTGCCCGCAAACATTCGCTTCAATTGTACACTGAGAACAGGGCTTCGAGGAGCCATATGAAATAAAGCCTCGCAAAGAAATTCTGTGCAAAAACCAAAACATAATAAAAGGTTTCCAGAAGTAAATATAATCTCTCTTTCTAATGCCCGTGAAAATTAACATAATCTTGTTCAAAAGTGAATCAAGCAACAAATCAATTCGTAATACAATCACTTGCATGTGTTGAGAGAACATTTTGTTGATTGAAAAGCTTCTTCAAAATTAAATTCTACAGAGCCATGAAGCATAGAATGTAATCCAGTAGTTATTTACTTGCCTTTACGATCAATATCATACCGCAAACACGATTAGAAATTGTGCATTCAACAGCCAACAACTTTCATACGCTTCAAGTTTTAGGCTTCTTGTGGGAGACACTATCTTCAGGCTCAGACTTCCGCTTAATATTCAAAAAGTGCTCAACCTGAAAGGAAAAAAATTAAGCAGAGGGAGCAAAAGATCTAAAGTGGAAGAGGTCATCTTCCCATCTATTGACCCCAACAAACAAGCAGAGGGAGCAAAATCTTGGGAACTAGTACCTTTTTATCACCAAGCATGGGGGTCAAGCCTCCAGTAAGGTCCTTCTCAACAGTAGCAAAACTGCTTCTGGGATCACTAGTTTGCCTGAAACCATTAAGCAAAGGGAAGTTGTAAGTGATAACAAATACAAAATAATATTTTGGGGAATTTATTATTATTATTATTTATTTTTTTTTGAACGTAGTCCTGTTTGATATCGATTAAAATCTAAAATTTATTCTAAGTCAAAGTTAACAATTAATTTTAATAACGTATTTCAATAGATCCATCACTTTTCAACTTTTATCAAAATCTACTAAAAGATTGATTTTAATCCCCAACAAACAAGTAAAATCACAATAGATTTGAGTTTTTTTCTATTCTCTCCCTCACGACTCCCCTCGCGCTTTTTACCAAAACCTACCTTTCTAATTTTCAAAATTTCTTCACATATTACCACATTTACTACAAATCTTCACTTAGATTATAGTGGTCAAATGCAAATGAATCGTTTCAGTTCGCCTAAGATGGAAATGGAAATTTTGAACTAATTAGAACCTAAATTTACATTTTTTGCTACCAATTTTCTG